TATTATTATTATTATTATTATTATTATTCCAGTCTTCTGGAATAATACGAGTTCCAGTCTAACAGCCCATACACTTTATAAACTTTTACAACATGTTGAAATGTTCTAACTGAGCTAGCAAATAGTTTTTAGAAAAATAACTACCTTCAGTTTAAGGACATCACAGTTTTGGAGAATTCCATTCAAGCCTAAAGTTATTTATATTTTTTATTAGAGATTTGGTTGCTGTGAATAAAATATTAATGGAAATATATGTGTGAAAACACCAAAACAGGAGTTGGAAGAATAGCCAGCACTGATAACAAAAAATGATATTCCATTCTCAGCAGTACAATTGAGGAATGTATTGATAAAGTCATAACCAGAAGGCCTGCACTCTAAGACAAGACCTCAGGGCAAGTGGCTCATTAGCAGAAGGTCCTGTAGCCTTGCCACAGGACAATGGCTGCAAGGTTGCAGCCTATCAAAGGCACAATTTCTTTTTCTTTTAGCCAAACAAGTGAAAACAGACACTTGTTCAATACATTATTGCAAACAAGGAAAAACAACCTATGAGCAGCAACTTTGCCTAGGATTTATGAGGACCAAAGAAGCAAGATACTGAAGCAAAAAACATTCCATAGCAACTGTTGCCTCTTTGAGGGTATGACAGATATGTTCAGAAAACAGTTCATTGTTACCCATCAAGAAGAACCCCAGCAGATGTGATGAGGAAATCAATAGCTGGTATCCCTTGTTCTCTGTGTCCCACACAAGTGATCCTGGCCAGATCATTTGGCCTCAGATATCTTGGTGCTTCTGCATATGTGGGTATAAGACTGCAAGTTTATGAAAACTATAATAGAATGAATAGGAATTGAGAAAATCAGCTTAGAAAATTTGTAAGTAAATACTCCATTCCCCTTCCAGATCTCCCATTGAGTTTTATTAGGATAATTTCCTGTGTTAATGTCAAATACTTGCTTTCCTTCATAAACTGTGTAGCTCTGGTAATCCTAATCTTGGCATTAATGGTATCTTTTCATTATTGCAGATATTTTGGCTATGCAGTCAGATTACAGGGCCTCAGTTATTAATCGCATGAGTTCTCGGTAAGCATTATATATTTAATGTGTCTCGGAAGTCAACAATCTACTGTATGATGTTGACAAAAAGTTCCCCTGAAGTTCACCTTCCAATGTTCACCAGTGGAAATTATTTCTGCTCTCTACAGATTCACCCTCTTCTAGGGAGGGGATGTAAAGTTTTTCTAAAAAATAAAAAAATGAGAAGACCAATGACATAATCTGTGAATAATAAAACAAAATGAGGTTGGGCCTACATTCCAAGCTATTGTCATGTGTACTTTCTCAAGATTAGAATATTTTCAAATCCTGAGTCATTTGGATATCTGATGTCATTGATTCACACACTGAAAGCCTGAATCTGTTCAGGATGACAGCCTCATTCCAGCTGCTTAATGACTCTCACTGTGGTTTTGGTTTGTTTTTTTTTTTCCTTGTATCTGTTATGGCTCTTTTGGATCTTCCAGTTATGTAACAGACTACCACGTAATTCTGCATTTATTACATATGTAATTAGCAAAGATTCGTAAACTTAATGCTCTCTACACTGTCTTATGGCCATAGCAAATTACTTGGCAGTCTCTAAGTATTCTCTACTCGTATCTGTCAGGATACCAGTGGGCACGCCTTCTCTTCAGGGAGTCGAGTAGGCATAGCCCCGCTACGTGTGGTAGGAGTTCTCTGAATGCTTACTGATACGTTTTTATAGGTTTAGGTTAGGGTGGCTCAAACCATAAGCTCTAGCAGGTCCCTTGCTGTTCACATGAGCAGCATACGCGATTTCATGGTGACTTTTGCTGACTTCATTTGGCATCCTGGAGCATTCCCTTTCATTCAGGGACTCCAGGATTCCTGTATCAATCTACGCCAGGTAGCTGAGGAACTGAGACCCTTTTGTCTCTGCTGATGCAACTGGCAGCACAGCATGTGTGTTTCACTTTGGCAGGGGGAAGTGGATGGCCACAGTATCCCATCCCTTGATGCAACTTGTGAATGTTCCTTCTTGTCCTTTTGCTGTGTACCTGTACTGGGTTTGGTTGGAATGGAGTTAATTTCCTTCATAGCAGCTTGTAATTTTCACATCCAGTGGTATGGGACTTAACACCGGAACAGGTGTGGCATCCTGTTGAAGTGACAAAACACTTGAAGAAAGGATGCCTTGGCTGTGCCAGAGATGTAAATTCTCACACGGTGCTGGGGCCTGGCCTATACCTACCTCAGTGGGGTGAATGGGACTCTGGATCTGAGGACATACAAACGGACAGTGTGGCTAAGTTAGAGACCCAACCCTCAACGATAACATTTGCTCCTAAACAATAGAAGAGGAAGTAAACTTGGTTTTTTAAGGGAGGAAGAATCTTCTAAGAGGGAGCAGGAGGAAGAATCAAAAGAGGCAGCCTGTTTTGCTGCCACCAGAACAAGATGGATGAGAGACAGAAATCATAAATGAGTGCAGAAGCCACCCAGTCCCTATCCCTGAATGAGCCGCAAGATATGCGGAAAGATTTCAGCTGTCATCTAGGTGAGCAAATTATCACCTGGCTGCTCTGATGCAAATCTGAAAAGATTTTTTCTCAGCCACTCAGTCCAAATGCTATCTTCAGTGATGGATCATTTTTCTAAACTAAAAGAATGTTGTCATGAAGTAACAAAATTATTTAAAATATGAGTAATAATTGTGTTTTGAAACTGATTTTTCAAATGTATTAGATATTCTCATGTTCATTATATTAATAATTATCTTTAGGATTTCAAAATGCAAAAACAGATTTTTAAACTTCATCTTCTCATTGCAAATTATACAGAAATGTATTTCTGTGGCCCAAGAGCTGGATTTGTGGGATCTTTAACAATTCAACTGAAACATCCAAGTTTGGGCTTCCTGCCTTGTCAAAAGAACAAAAGAAGGACTTGTCCAGAGGGTTCAT